GGCATAACTCCGTGAAACTGGTGGACGACGGCGAAAAGTAGGAAAGCCGTCTAACAAATTGATAGTAGGCAGCTAATTTTGTTTGTACGATCCAAAAGGATCGTACGGTGATTAGCGGTATTCGAAATTCGCGCGCGTCCACTTCCATCGATTGGGATTCTAGATCGATACTCATTGCAAACATCGATCAACTATTAGTACCTATCGAAGCGTTGCTCTAGCTACCCCCACCTCTCGCATCCCCACTTCTCATAGCCCTAGTACGTACGTCCTGCTGGGCCAGTACAAAAGGGGCATTCTTCCTATTCTTCACTGGACGCCTACGACTACACATCTTGAGGGATTATAGAGGCTTTAAGAATTCACAAAGGACAACGAAGAGAATATCCTAATCTTCAAGACTCGTGAAAGTGAGCCCATTMAACATCACAACCCTTAAGGTTGTGATCGCTATATTTGCGGAGTGCGAGAGCATAAACAAATTGCCAGAGGACTCTTAGTTGAGGAATTTCGGCCACGGGCCATTTTGGTGCAATCCTGTGAGGTGCGAACTCCCGACTTCGGATTTACGAAGCAGCGAGTAGACTATCACCACACCGAGCAAACCGATTAGAGAACAAGGAAGTCGAGGGAGTCCGCCATCTTGTGAACATCTACACCGTTCAGCGGAGGCAGCATCACGAAAGATCTAGAAGCGAGATAAGTTGTTTTTAATTACCCGTGCGTACGCCTATGCGTACACACCCTCATTTACTGATATATATCCCAAGGGAAATTGCGTCTTTGAACCCTGTAGAAGTTCGCAATTTCTTACATATCTATGCATTACGCTCATTGTTTCTGTAAAATTCACATTTCAATATCGAAAAGACTTATAGAACTTAATTTCTAAATTTAAACGGATGCATTATATATAATCGAATGTTATTCTCCATCTCGGAAAACGCTTTATTCTTGTACAAAGAACGATAAGATTTTCGGTGGCTTCACCGCCACGCCACCTTCCTTTACTTGAACAGTTGACTAGAATGAAGACGCCTTGACGTCGTCACCGGACATCCCATCTATCGGCATACAGCTAGCGACAATCGTATACCCCCTCCATCGGCCTCTTATACTATACATACGTATACCCCCTCCAACGGCCTCTTACACTATACATAGGTATACCCCCTCCAAAGATCTAGCCTCAGGGCCGCACCTTGTGATCGAGAACCCAACGCGCGGTCATTCATTCATATAAAGGAGATTTTTATGTATTACCATAAATTAATTTGAGTGGATTTCGAAGAGTAGAATCATTAATAACGGTCCGTAATAGCATTGCAAAAACAGCTCGAACAAAAACGGCTAGTTTTAGAATCGGGTTTAACACACGTCGAAAATCTAATCCAAGAAGAAAATCTAAGTAAACAGGAAATAAGAAAGCGTTACGAACGACTTACTCAGCTAGTAGAGAAATACGAAACATTGTATGAAAAGTGCGCTACTGCTATCAGCGAAGTAGGAGGAATCGATAGTTTGAATCCAATCATAGAGAGATATTTCGCGATCGGAGACAAAATTGACTCGGGCGATACGGCCGCGGTTAGTAACGCGAATGGCTCGCATGGAGACGACGGTGCTACAAATACCCGCGATCAGCAAATACGATTACGCCGAATCGAGATCCCGAAATTCGACGAAGACATCGGAAAGTGGATCAAATTCAAGGGTAGTTTTATGACACTGGTGGACGCGCGTACCGACATGTCGGATTTAGAAAAACATATATACTTCCGCGAGTCTCTTACCGGTAGAGCGCTTCAGACGATCGCGACATATTCATCGACCGGGCAGAATGATAAGAATGCGTGGGAAATGTTATTGAAAACTTTCGACCGGCAACGCATACTCCTAGCACGGGCCATTGACGCCTTCATAGACACTCCACGGTCGAAAAGCATGTCAATAGAAGAGATGACACGGCTTGCGAGTGACTTGCGGGCCCATTCGGATACTATTACTTCTTTCCATGTACCACACGTACTGATGGTACGCCTTGGCGAACGCATTCTACCCCGCGACCTTAGACAAGAATGGGACAAACAGTTAGATGCGGATAATTATCCGACCATAAATCAGCTTTGCGACTTTGTAAACGAGTACACACTCCGTAGCGTCGCATCGTCGATTATTCCATCGACATCGGGAAACGAGCCTCACGCAAAACGTAGACATACTGATACGATGACTTTACGGCCACGAAAACGACAGGAGACGCATATAAAGCGCACGTTTCTTACTCAGACCTCAAATAAGTGTATTCTTTGCAAACAAGACAAACATCTTTTATACCAATGTTCCCGATACCATTACCTGACGAGACAAGACAGACTGGCGATAGTCAATCGTTACGGATTATGTCAAAATTGCTTACGGAAGCACCGAGATCCATGTAAGAGTTCACATTGTCAAATCTGCAACCAGACCCATCACACGTCATTA